AGGAGCGGAGATGAAAGATTGGAAGATGAATCGCGCCCTGGTCGTCCAGAGCAGGTGGACAACGATGCCTTGAGAGCAGCAATTGAAGTGGATCCTTGCCAAACTACTCTCAGTCTCTCGGAGCAGTTCGACTGCGGTTTTTCCACAATTTCCAGACATTTGCATGCAATCGGAAAAACAAACAGATGTGGAAAATGGGTCCCTCATGAGCTTTCCGATTCGAACAAGGAAAACCGTGTTGAAGTTGCCAATATTCTGATGCGCCGCTCCAAAAATCGTGGTTTCTTCGATTCGATTTTGACATCGGATGAGGAATGGATTCAGTGGGACAATAATGGGAGAAAAAACAGTGGCTGAGTCCTGGTGAGACCCCGAAACCGACTCCAAAACCGGACATCCACGGAAAGAAAATGATGATATGTGTCTGGTGGAACACACGTGGTCTCGTGCATTTTGAACTTCTGAGACCTTGTCAAACGGTGAATGCGGACCTTTTCAAAGATCAGCTGGACCGTGTGGACCAAGCTCTCAAACGCCAAGGCGTGGACACTTCGACAACACTCTTGCTCCATGACAACGCTCGACCACACACTGCAAAAATCATTCAGCAGAAAACTCAGGAGCTGGGCTGGGAAGTGCTGCCTCATCTGCCATATAGTCCCGATTTGGCACCATCGGACTATCACCTATTCCGATCCATGCAACATCATCTGGCCGATAAAAAAATTTGAAACCGGTGAAGAAGTGCAAATTTGGGTGGCGGACTATTTCGAGTCACAGCCAGAGGAGTTCTTCAAGAAAGGCATCGCTGAATTGCGCACACGTTGGCAGAAAGTAGTGAACAATAATGGAGAATACCTTATTGATTAATGATCTCTTGTTTTGGTTTTACAATAAAAGGAAGTTGCTTCAAAAACGCGCATTACTTTTGCAAACCCCTGATAGGTAATAAAGGGTTACGGTAGTCCTGCTATTAAGAAAATTCATATATTTTTTGAATCTCTTTATAACCGGACCACATTCGTTTTTTGAAGATCTCAAATTTGTCAGTTACGTCATTAGAATCATAAAAAATGAGCAATCTAATTTTCCAAAAAAAAAACCAGAAAAAACTTCTGGCCCTCCAAGTCGGGGCTAACAAGATGAAAATCACCAAAAATGCAATTTTGCACACGAACATTTTTTGCCGTTTTTTGGAAATGAAGAGTTTCAATGCATTTGGCGTGACTTTTCATTTTGCACGGCCCCCTGGGAGTAAGAAAAAAGTGAAATGTGTGCGTGGATGGCTTTCTACACACTTCAAACTTATTCTCACTATGGAACACTTGTTTTATTTAGGGAGAGCGGAGGAAAGTGACAAAGTTCAAAGTGACAAGAACAAATGGTTCCGTTGGGGAAGGGTGACCATGAGATTTGTGTTGATTTTTTTTTGAATTTTTTTTCTGCCACAGTTTTTCTCATTTGGAAAAAAAATTAGAAAAATATTCAAAAATCAGAAATTCTTTTTAAAAATATCATCCCCCAGGAGTCAGTTTTTTAGATTCGAAAGCACTTTTTCAGAAAGACCCCAATTGTCCCGCTTGCTCTAATAATTCTTTAAGAAACCCAAAACCTACAGTAAGACAAGAACTAAGGCATCATGAAAAATGAGAAAAGTGAGCAAAGACAAAACTTTTTGAGAAGAGAGAGGGGTATATCTAGAAGAAGAATTGATTTGATTTTAAAATTAGAGAGTGTCAAAGTGGATTTTGTTGTGTTTATTCACACATGAGGATGATGCAAATAAAGTTGGTCTTTTGGGAATTTCAAAAAGAAAAAAGATTTTAGCAGTGATGAGAAGACTAATTTGATTACTGTACATCAGCAACAATCTCGTATAGCAGAAAACAAAAAAACCACTAAACTGTAATGGAAAGGTTCTAACTCAGTTCCTGTAAGAGATACAGAAAAGTGGCCGACTAAAAAAACGTTTTCATAACGTCAAAATCACGTATTTTTTTGAATTATTTTTAAATTTATTCCATAGGAATCAAGATAAAATGAAAAAAAAACCAAATATACATCGGCTTCACGTTTTACAGTTGATTATAGCTTTCTTCAAATAAAATGTATTTCCAAGACCTTCAAAAAACAGAAAAAGGAAGTTTGTTCGAATTAAGCATTAATTATATGTAGAAGAACTGTTTCTTCCCTAAGTTAATGAATACTAATTTGAGCATTTTTATCAGTTTCCGTTAGAAAAATTCAAAAAATAGGCTTTTTGTTTTGAAATATTGAACTAGAGCATGAGCTAGAAATTCAATTTTTTTGAAAGGCAACAGTTCAATTAATTGTTCATGATTGATGACATATTTGGACAATCTTTCATGGATTTGATTTTCATCAATTTTCAAAGAAAATAATTGAAAATGAAGATTTCGAAATCTTATTTAAAAAATGTCAAAACTATACGAAATCAAAATGCCAGTTTTGATTAAATTTTGTGGGCGTTTCAGAATTTCACATATCTGAAATAATCCATGTTTTATTATCCTCAATTATAATCGAATTTCTACTTTTTTGAAAAAAATTGAAGATTCACTAAACTCTATCCGAATTCTTCCAATACAAACAAACGGAAGTTCAAAAATCTTCAAAAAAACGCAACTTCCTGGGAAATCCCATATCATGTGAACAATCAAAAAAAAAGACAATAAATGAAAAAACATATCAAATTTCCAATCTGAATTTTCTTTGAAAATTTTTTGAACGAGAAACAAAAAAAATTTTGAAATGAGATTTCGGAGGGAAACTCGAGTTTCGTCCTGCACTTTTCAAAACCCATTAATTGAATAGAAGAGGCAAAATGATTAATGCATTGTTTTGGATGGGCGGCTGTTGGGCAAGAAAAATGAGAAGGACGTGCAGGATTTTGGAGAAAAGAGGAAAATTATTCAAGATGTTAATGATTAGAATTGCAGGTGAAAACAGTAATTTTATACTTTAGAAAAAAATGAATAAATGACAAGAAATAACTTTCTTGAAAAATATTCCTGCACATAATTCTGAGGGCACTAACATTTTGAGGTCATTATAGTAGAAAGTAGTTTAGGGGTGTAAAAACACAGTTTGGAAGTGCACAATGTCTGAAAAATGAAAAAATCGAATTTTGAATATTCTTTCCACAGCAACGGTTTAGATCCCATGTCTTGTTCCTGATGTTGATTGCATTCATTTTTTGGATTTTCTTCTAGGATTAACATTCACTTGAGCGGAAAAATTTGGCAAAGACTAAAAGAACAACGTCAGGCTGAAAGCTAAGTGCTCGAGATCGGTGAAAAAGTTCAAGAAATGCAAATAGAAAAACAAAGTATATGAAAAATACAGAGAACTAGGAAGAAAAACACAATCATTCATCCTCAATCGTCCTTTTTTTGTTTAAACCAGGCACTTCAGAATGTCTAGTTTTTTCCCTTTTTTCTAATTGTTTCTATTCATTTTTAACTGGATCAAACATTGAAAAAGGAAATGGATGGTGCATGTGCAAATGGAAAAGACGTCAGAATTTTAAAGAACACAGCAGTTGAAAGATGGAAGAGATATATCAAATAGATATCGGCGGGCTGATGAAAAGAAGGATAATTTTTTGGAGTATTTTTTGCTCATCTTTGGAATAGGTTGAGAGATTGGAAAAAAATATGTTTTATGCTCGTTGATAGAATCCATGATAATTTCGAAAAAAATTTGATTTTAGAGTTTGAAATGGGAGAACAATCGGAACAACGCTTTGGAAACGAAAAATAAAACTTTTTCCGGAATTTTTCGGACCGTCTTATGAAAATTCCGAGGAAAGAATTCAAATATTACGTATTTTCTTACAAAACGATGAGAAAATATTCAGAAAAATGGGCACCAGTAATTTCAAGAAAACAGTTCGTCCCTTTAAAACAAAGGTCAATCTCGGACCGCATTTTCGATGTTGGGGTTTTGGAACTATTTGGTGATAAGGACGCAGAATTACAGAAAATTAGAGTTAATGCATTGTGATTCTACACTGTTATATATTGAAAATGCTGCCTAACTCTGAAAAACAGACTTTACTTGTTAAAAATTATAGTGTTGCAAGTTTTACGGTTTTAACGGAATTTTTGGTTTATCAATGACCTTATTAATGATATTTGAAACTTAAATCGGATATTTCCTATGTCAAAATTTTATATGAACTACATTAACAATGTTTTTAAGCTTCAAAGTTTCCAGGATGAGAATTGATTGTGAAATAATTGTTTTTTTTAAAGAACTCACAAATTCATGCTCAAAGTTTTTATAAAATGCTTTGAAACAAGTTTTTCAATTGTTTTTGAAAATGTATTACAAAATACTACTCTGAAAAAATAAAATTCATTTTTCATAAATTGTTATCAATTGAAGTAATTCTAACTATTCAGTTTTTGATATTTCAATCTTTTTTTTCTATTTCTCATTTCGCCCATTTTTCATTACCTACTTCACAAGTTTTTAGGTGCTACATCATTGTCACGGTTTTCCATGTACACATTTTGCTTCAATTATTCATTAGGACTGGCTCAACTTCAGTTACCAGGCAACTTCCTAAACAATGTGAAAAATGAGAAAAAAAGAAATGATGGTCATTCCCTCAAAGCTTTTTTTCTAAAACTCACATACCAAAACACCAATGACCACTTACTCTTACTAAACTAAAATTTCGACAACAAAGAAAAAAGGAAAATGGTTCGAGTTGATCGAGGTAAGATCCCAAAGTTATTCAGTCAACCGAAAAGAAATGAGAACATCTCAGAAAACGTTTTTTTTTCTCTTGAATATAAATTTTTTGGGTGACTAAAAATTTGGGGAATAATGGAGAAGATTATTATCTTCCAGACAAGTTCAGTAACTTATTTTCCGGAAAACTTGTTTTTACCTTATTATGATGACTAGATTTAGATCTGAAACGATGTTATTTCTACCGGCTGAAAATAGAAGGCGATGTTCGAAAACCCATGGATGAGCGGTCGGCATCGCCAGAGTTTCCAAAATCTGGAGTTCCACTCCAGGATATTATTCGTAAGTCTATCTTTTCAATGACAAGCTTGATACAGTACCGGCCAATAAAATATTGTTTAAAAAACGTGTTTTTCAGTTGATTTTTGGCATTTTCAGGAGTCTGGAGAGCTGTTAAACCTCCGATTACATTTGAAAACTTTGAGAAGTGCAAAACAGACTTAGATTGAAACTTTGCATTCTCAGAATTTTTTGAAAAATCTTAGTTTTTCTGTTATCTGCCGATTTCTGAATGACAACCATTTTGACCTGTTTTTGTAATAAGAACGTGGAGAAATCGGCAAATGTCCGGAACCTTGTAATTTTCAAATATATTCTGTGTAAATTATCAATTTATATCTGTTTTACAATCTCGAATAAGTCTTCAAAGTGAGCTGGACAACCGAGCTCTAGGCTCCTGAAAATGGCCGAAATGACTGAAAATAAACCGATGAAAATGCATTTGTATGTCTTTTTGACCTGTACTGTATATATTTCCAGCTTACAACCCACATTTCCGCGAGAGAACTGCCAGACCACCAACAAGATCATCGAGTACGAGGAGAATCAGGTTTGAAATTATATTTGACTCATGTTTTTTCGCTAAATGCAATTTTTTCCAGTTGGAGTCGAGAAGCAGATCGTGTCCGTGAAATCTCTCCTAGAAGTGAGCCAACCAAATTTATCTTTCCGGCCCCGCCAAGAAAGTCGAGCAGCTTCTCGGAAAGCTATGTAGATCCTGAAAATAGTTAGCAAAATTGAACTTAAAAAAAAAGAAAATTACGAATAAATTTTTTCCAGAGTACCCTCTTCCAGAGAAGAAGAAAAAGAAGAAAAAGAAGACTGCCAAGCCTATCAAAAAACCTACGCCGGAGCCTATTTTTGAACCTGTATTTTTTAAAATCAATTTTCAATACACCGAGAAGTTTTCAGGTTCACGTACCCACGAAAACATATGTACCACCATTGGTTGCAAAGAAAAAGAATCCAGTCAAAACTATAAAGTCAAAGAACAAGGATCAGTTGATTAGACAACAAAGGGTAACGTCTGAACTGATAATTACTTTTAACCTTTTCTGAAATTGTTATTTAGGACCAGCGATATAGAGCTCAACAGTTGGAGCAAGCCAAGCGTAGTCAAATACCAGTCTCGAATTTGAGAAAAGTCAAATCGGAGACAAATTTAAAATCGATTCCAAAGGAGGCACTAATGAAAAAATCAGTAAGTATAAATTAGGTTTCACATGTGGTTTTGAAAATTCCTATAACTAAATTTTTTTAGAAATAGATCTCTAGTATCGGGCCTAAAATAAGGCATCCCAGGCTAATCCTGAGAACGTTTTTCCTTTTTCTCATTTCTTTTTTAAACCCAAATATCTCATTTTCTGTGAATGGTATCAAAAAGTGGTCAACTGCTGAAATGTTTGCAATTTTATTATTAACAATTTATAAATTTAGTACTTTCTGATACCGTAAAACCTCTAATAGAACGACACCCGGCACGTCCACTTTGGATCCAACCCCACACCTTACTTTAGTTCTTAGGATCTTGTGAACCACAACTTAATGGTGATTCGAGGGATGGTGTCTGCGCCTAACACTTTGCACTTTGTTCGCCAATGTCTTTTGCTCTAGAGGTCCTGGAGAAACGTGAACGAAAACACACTTTTGAGTAAGTGGCGGTTATCGAGGGAATCCTCGGCCGTTGTACAGTCTATGCGGAATTTTT